ATTCTTGGCCTACTTTCAGGTTAATAATTTAGTCTGCTACAGTTTCATGGATGCTAGCAGAAGACATGAGAATTCATTAGAGACAAAGGCCAGTTCATTACTAACAGCAATAGCAGCAGCCAATGTATCAGCATTTTCTTACATTCATAACCCAATCCACATACATAACATGATGAGTCCATGTGACACCTGCACTTATATGGGAGATATATATCTATATCTATCTGTCTATCTATCTATCTATCTATCTATCTATCTATCTATCTATCTATCTATGAAACTGACCCCAAGCCTAGGAAATACTTATTTTTGATAATAGGCTGAAAGCAAACCTCTTCAACTTTTGTCCTGGAGAGAGATATCATCTCTAAACAGCCCTTCCCTCTGAAACTTAGTGATATACTTTTGAACTATATGTTCAAAGCCTGTGCACTATACAAACTTCCATGTAAAGATTGTCTGGAGCAAAACACTCTTAAGAATTTTTCCTAAACATGACAGCATAATTATTTTAATTATTAAAGAAATCCCCAGGGTGTATATGTATGGATCCTCAATGTACACATAGTTGTGTGAATCATTTAAGCCTTCAAAATATTTTCTGCTGAAGGTTAAATTTTGATTTATTTTTAATAAAATAATATCATTTGGTCATATTGATCCTTGAAAACATGTACAATTTCAGTGCCGCAGTTCACATGGAGGTAGAGAGTTTATGGTTTTCCAAGGAATTCTTAATGAGACCACCGTCCTGCTCAAAAACATACCATATGTCTATAGAGTAAAACTTTTGAAAACTCAGTCATTGTTTAAAAGGGCAAAGATGAATGAAGTCTGAATAATTTCAAATAGAATTTTCCTTTTGAAAAGTACAAGAACACAAAGGAAACTCAGAGGGAAGCTGTCAAATTAAAATCCTGATCTCAGAACATCAGACATACTACAGATCACTGACAGGATTTTAGGTGAACCTACTCTCATGAGGTTGTTCCTAAGGTCAGAATACCCCCCACCCACCCCCTGGAACAAGGAGTGAGAGGGACACAAAGGCATCTGGAGTCAAATGGGAAACAGGGTTACATGTGCTTTCATATGGCTTCCAGATTGGCCTTCTGACTCCATTCCTATGGCTGGAATTATTTTATATGTATGAAACGAGGGTGTTTATTTTAAGATGATTTTATAGAGAATGTCTATCTTTTAAACAAAGGACCTCGTCCATGTGCTTTGGAAGAGTAGTTGAATTATAAGTAAGAGCATGACCTTCACATTGAAAATTCATCTGTCTATTTTTCTAAGTACAGATCCTGGGAAATCAAGAGGAACTTAAATAAATGTATCCTGCAGTTCAGATAATACATGTGCCAAATCATGTGTGTGTGTGTGTGTGTGTGCACTGATAAAGGAAATTTAAATGGATTTGTTCCCTCATTATTTTGGCATCCAAGGAAGAATCCCAAAGGGACTTTCATTGCCAGAAAATTGATACTATAAGAGCAATTTTTCTCATGTTTCAGATAATACCTTTAAATCCTACCTTAAACCTTAAAGTAATATAACTGCTAGGAAAAAGTTGACTATTCCTGTTTCTTGTCATGGTCTGACAGCCAGTAGCACATATGTCTTAGTACTAACTTTGTTTATACTGATAAGGAAAAATGAATGTCAGAAATGCTTTATATTAAAACCCCCATTTTTTGTCTACCTATAACTAATTAGGTTTAAGTATTTTTGAATGATCATGTTTGCCTTTTTCTTTACTACATAAAGAAAATTAATATTTTGACCCCCAGCTCTAATAAGGTAACCTATAAATTCAAAATAATGTTAATTATTGTTTTAAAAAATTAAAAAGTCATGTTAAGCTAACAGCACTACTTGAGCATATTTAAGAACTTCCCCTTTCCTCATCGCTTCCCATACCAATCAAAATAAACAGTACATTACTACTGACAACCAAGGAAGAGGGCCACCTATTTCCATAATCCTTGAAGCATTTCTGTCAGAAATAATGCAGAGATCAAAATAAACACTCCACAGATCAGCTTTAACTCCCTTTCCTAAAAAATAATACACCGTCCCATTAGTATTCCCAAAATGCAAAAGGGGTGAGAGATCTTTGATAGTCTAACAGCATAACATTTGTGATTACTTTTGCTTCTAGAGATAAAAACAATGGCTGGCAACAATTCTTGGGAACCAGCATTTATAGGAATTACCTTTGGTATGGTAAAGTTAAGTTTTCAAACAGCAAAAAACACCAAGGGAAGAATCTATAGCAGATTCACCTTGCTGACATGCATAGTTATAGAAATCTGAATCAACAAACACAAAAATGAAACTAGAAACCAAGTAAGATATTCATCTTCTATGACTATCAGTGGCACCAGTTTCCTTCCAATTCTAAGAGTTTTGGTTCATTAAATTTTCTTTCGTAAGACCTTCCTTTTCAGCTGTGAAAAGAAAATTCTAGTAGTGTAATAGTAACTAAGTATGGATGGAAGGAATCCAAAGAAAACTTACCAATTTTGTTTCAAGGAAAGTATCCGATATAAATAGAAAATCTCCAAAACATTAACATAAAGAAAATAAAAATGTTCTAGACTGTAAAATAAATAGGAGAAACTAATAAAAAGAGGGAGAGGATTTGTTTTGATAAGCTGGCAAGGTTTACTATGTAAGAGATAAGTCAAATTCAGACATTTGCTTTGTATTCTCAGTATTGAGAAAAATATGGCTTTCATAAAACAGATGAAAAATAGAATATAAAAGGACAATGGTGAAATTTAAATGGAGTGGGAGAGAATAAAGGAAAAGTAAATAGAACAAGATTGTGTCAGTATAAAAAGAACAATCTAATTTCTATACATTTTCAGCAAGACATATAAAAACCCCCTTCAAAATGGCCTTAAAAAGTAAAACTTTTAAAAAGTAAAATTTAAAACTGTAAAACTAGAAGAAAGTAAAGGAATATATATATTCATGACCTTAGGGGGAAAGTTGTTTTGGAGAGGACAAATAATGCATCAGTCATTTTCAAAAAGTAGCAAGTTGAACATCATCAAAATTAAAAAATTCAGCTTGTCAAAAACCACCTTTACTAGAGTACAAATTGGGGAGAAGGACCAGTGGACTATGATGGAGAACTAGGTGTGCCTTGGTGATGAGTATGGCAGTGGATATCTGAGGGGGTATGAACCTGTACCTCTGAATCATGCACAGTGTTGTATCCAAAATTACCTCAATAAAAAGAAAATTCTGAATTCATAATCTGCTGGTGGGAGTGTAAATTGATACAACCATTTTGTAAAAATAAATAGTTACCTTTAAGAATATGTAAAGGCAAAAGGAAAAAAGATAAGTATATACACATATATATGTAAAAAAATCTAAAGAACTTACATAATTTAATACTAAAACACAACTCACAAAAATGGGGAATAACAGACATCATGAAAAGAAAATGCATGGAACAACAGTTAAAGACATGAAAATATGATCAACAGAACTAGGTGATATAGCAGTATTTGGGTCAGTCATCATATATGGTTTTTAGAACTCATGGTAAAGATAACCTATTATTTTTATCTATTACAATGTTGTTCTTTCCTTTCTGAAGTTCTAATTCTTCTTCTGTGATAATTTTCTGTTTAGAGAATTTTCTTTAGCCATTCTTTAAGGGCAGATTTGCTGGTAAAAAATAGTGCATCACTTGAGAATATCATTTCTTTTTAATATTTTTGACTGATAAAGCTTTGCAATTGACATATCTTTACTTTCAGCACTTGAAAAATGTGTTTATTTCTTCTGGTATCCAGTATCAGATAACAAATTCACTGTTACTTGAATTGATGTTCTTCTAAAGTAAGTCATCTTTTCTAGATGTTTTAAAAATTTTTTCTTGGTCTTCAGTTTTTATTTTTATTTTTTTTTAAAGATTTTTTTATTTATACAAACACTGGGGCACAGGCCAGAGGCACAGGAGGGTGAGAGAGTTTACCAGAGACAGAGTAGGGAGCAGAACAGGCAGAAGGACCAAAAGCACTGCTGAAGGGAGCAGCGGGCGAGACAGGAGAGGTCTGCTGTTCCATGTGGGTATCTCCCCTGGCCAGCTGTGAATCGAACTGGTGCTTCAGAGGCTGCGGACAGCTTCACAGTGCTGCACTCAACCCACTGTGCCACTGGGGAGGCCTGGTCTTCAGTTTTTAGCTGTTTAATTATGAGGTATCTTGATTTGAGTTTCTTTGAGCTAATATTATTTGTGATTAGCGCATATTCTTGAATCTGTGGGTATATGCTTTTCACACATTTGGAATGTTTTCAAACATTTTTTTCAAATGTTTTTTCTATAATTCTCTATCTCTTCTCCTCTTTCATACATGTAAATTTTTTGTATAGTTCCATAGGTCCCTGAGACACTTTTTACTTTTTCAGTTGATTTTTCCCTTTGTTGTTAGAGAAATTTTACTAATCTGTTATCACGTTTACTATTTTTTAATAATCTTCACTCTACTATTGTGCCCAACTATTATATTTGTTTCACTTGCTGTATTTTTCACTTCTTGTTTTGCTTGCTTCTCCTATCTGCTGTTTCTTTACTAAGTTTTTCAATATATTTCATGAGACTCAAGAAAGTGTATCATTGCTCACTGAACGATTTTTGAAAATGGTTGATTTAGAATTCTTGTCAGATCATTCCAATATCTAATAATTGTGGTGTTAGTGTCAGTTGATTATGTTTGTTTTTTTTTTTCGTGTTGTGATTTTGGTATGATGTATGATTGTTTTGTGTGTGTTATATATTTTGTATGTTATACTATGATATTCTGAAAACACTTTATCTTCTCTAATGAGCAGCCTCCCTGTTAAGATATAGCACAAGCAATGGGTGGGCATATATGCTGAATTTCTACAAGGCCCCTGAAAATACCACCTGGTAGAAGTAGAGCACTTCCTCTCACTGTCTCATGGCAGATAAACAGAATGGAAGTTCAGCTCACCCTTGGCCCTGTTGATAGTTTTCTTGTGAAAGTAGGGCACTGACTCATATCATCTCATTGACTCCAAGTTGGGTATGTAAGCCACTGATACCCTGGAGGAGGAAGCAAAGGGCTGACTAAAAATCTTGTTGTTGCATGGTGGGCATGAAAGTTTACCCCACTGATTTGTGCTGCTGATCCAAGGGAAGGAAGGGGAAATGTGGAGCGCTGACTAGTTCCACCTCCTACCACTTCATTATAATTCATTGATACCGAATAGTTGTGGAGGTTCAGCTTCTTGCTGAAACTTACTGACACCTTTTGGGGTGAGTGAAGCAAAGTAGTGACTAATCCTGTCACCTTGTAAAATCTCACTGGTACTGGGTCAGGGTAGAAGCTCACCTTACCACTGGATGACTGATGTTACACTGGTGCTGAATGGGGGATAAAACGTCATTTCCCCAACCCCCAACATATCACTGAAACTATGGGAAAAGAGGAAGGTTTTCTCTGGCTGAATTATAGCAAGTATTGACAGACAGGTATTTCTGTTTTGCTAGGTTATCTTTCACTGGACCTTTCTTAAAGGAAAAAAGCTTTTCTTGGAGCTTTTTAAAATTTCTATCTCTTGCCATTTTTGGATTCAGGCTACCATAATTCCATAGACAAATGGCAAAAAGAAAACTCAGGGAATTCATTACCATGTCATTTGTCAATATGCCTGATATTCCTCAGTAGTCCAACTTCTTTCACCTTGCAAAATGTAGCTATGCTTACTTCTTATACATCCGGAGTTTTTTAGTTATAAGAGGAAAGTCCTGGGAGGAGTGCAGCTACTTCATTTTCATTGGAACCAAAGGACTTATTCTTACTGTTGATAATTTAAAATGGGACAACCGTTTTTGGAAAGGGCTTAGCAGTTTCTCACAAAATAAACATACGCTTACTTTAGCATTTTAGCAATTAAACATATACTTACCATAGCAATTTATCTGCTAGATATAGGCCCCAAAGAAATAAATTATATTTTCCTGATTATATTGCAAATGCCTTTATTTATAATAGTCCCAAATTGGAGATAGCCAGATGTCTGTTAAAAAGAAAAATGGAAAAACTGTTTAAAACAACAAAGATTCATTCATTCAACAGTATAGATGATTCTCAAAATATTATGCTAAGTGAAATAAACCATAAAAAAGAAAAAAATGTATATTACTCTTTCTTCTGCTCAACATCTACATAAACATAAACATAAACAACGTAAATCAGTCATGCAGGAGTGCCTTATCCAGTTCTTTTACATTTTACAGCAACGTCATACACACACAGGTGCAGAGGCCCCAAGTGGTGGAGAGGTCACATGATTCCATTTACATGAATTTCAAGAAGACTCAAATCTATTTGGATAGAAAATCAGGGGACAAGATAGAGAAACAAATGGATTTCTTGGGTGATAGAAAATTTCTGTATTTTGATTGGAATGTTTTCTATAGACTAAATTGCCAAACTTTAAAATTACAATAAAGCTTTATGCATTTCACTATATGTGAAATTTAAACTCAGTAAAAGAAATAACAGTAATGCTCATGTTCTAATTTTTTTTTTAGGAAATTGATCTCTGCATTTTACTGACTAATCATAAAGCATAAAATGTTATTTGACTAGGAAAGAATTTAAGAAAACTAAAAAGTAGACCTATGGAATTAAAATTTACATTGAGAAATAAAGTCATAAAAAACATAGAAATTGAAAGTATATGGAAGACACTGGATAGAAAGTTTTCGAAAAATGTATGGGAAAGGAAAAAAGATCTGAATGTGATAAAAGAGATAATATCACTTATGAAGTAAAGATACAGGGTATATCACATGAATAAGAGACCAAAAACCAGTGGAAGAAAAAGAATATATGGTTGAAGAGCAAGAAAGTAGTCTGCAAATTTAATGGGCTCCTTGTGTTCCATGTACATTATGAAACAGTATATAGACAAATTTAAGAACAATTTTTAAATGTTATGAATAAAAGATTTCAGTAGAGTAAAAAAATGCACACTTGATAGTAAATGAGTAGAAATCATTGTTAGAAAATATAAGTGAAAATAAAGTACAAGCAAGTTCTAGATTAAGAACATACCAATTTATGAGAAATGTAAATTTATGGCAAAAGTAAATCTTACTAATTTTCATGTATTTAAAAATATGGATTTCCGATAGAAGGGAGGGAAGCGCAGAACCCTGCTCCCCTCCCCCGCCCACAGAAGCGGCACTCTCCGACCAGCAGAGAGGAGGAAACAACAAACCAAAACGGCCCACAAGAACAAACTACGCAGCAAGCGGACTGTGAGTGGAAAGGAACTATTGCAGCCACCACACCCCGTGAACGGGAGCTGAGGCGAACCCTGCAGGATCCCCCGCGGCGGGGAGCGAACGGCTCTGGCCGCCATTAGAGAAGAACAAAGACCCCGGGAGACGCACACACAGCCCGGGCTGCCGGTAAGCTGGCACGGCTCGCTGGGCGCGCTTGAAAAGAAAGTGCAGACCTGGATCGCGGCTGCCCAGGTCCCCGCGCCTGCGACCTAGGCTTGCGGGGAGACGACCTAGGCTTGCAGGGAGACGCGCGGAGGTCCTCACTGAGGTGAAGGTCCCTCCCTGAGTGAGCAGGAACCAGGCGCCCAGGCACGGGAGCTGTGCAAAAGGCGCCATTCCCGCGCCACTGAACTGGGCTACAGCCCGCGTCCTGGAACTGAGGGCTTTGAACTGAGACCCGGGGCACGAAAATTCGGGGCGTGGTTTCTCCACAACGGTGGGGCACAAGGCAGACACAGCACCCCAAAGCTGTTGAGGTGTACCCTACCATTCCCGCTCTGTTCTCTGTCCCACGGGGTGGGGGAGGCGAAAAACAGCCCCCAAGGACAATAGGAGAGATCTCTGGCGCCACCTAGCGACCAGGGAAAAAAAAAAGTCACTAACACCCTATAAAACAGGACATTTCTTAAGACTGCTTGAAAAGGGCAGAAGGTTTCTGGAGGACCCAGTGGCCAGCCGGGAAGTTATTCCACGCCAGGCCCCTTCCGACCAGCAGTCTGAGCCCACAGACGGAGCAGGCACCCACGTCCGGGGCAGACCGGGTGCGCAGAAGAGTGTGCCTGAAACCGGAGGCGCAGGGACTGCATCCCGCTTCGCCATTTGAGAACAGGGACATTTCTTCAGTAAAAACTGCCTAAAACCAGCAGAAAGCTCCCCAGAAGACAGAGATGGCTCCTGAAGAGCCAGAGGGGAGCGGAGAAGTTCCCAAGATGTCAGTCAGTCCGAGCAACACAGTGTCCCAACGCATACAACAAATTAGAAAACAGACAGTAGGGAGTAGAAGAACCACACGCAACCTAAAAACTCCTCAGGAAAGAAGCACACCACAAAAAGAAAACCACTCCCCAGATTGCAACGACAGCAACTTGGAAGAACTTCTGAGCCTTCCAGAAAGAGAATTTAAATTGCCATGATTAAAAAAGTGATAGATCAGAAGAAGGAAATTGAGTCCCTAAAGAGGGAAGTAAGAGAAATGCAGGAGATCAAAGAATTAATGGAGGAACTAAAGAACTCTGGGAAAAGCAATGAAAGCAGAATAGATGAAATGGAAGAACGAATAAGTAATCTTGAAGACACAGAAATAAAAAGAACCAAAACAGAAAAGGAAAGAGAAGTACGAAGGAAAAAGAATGAAGAAAGACTTCGGGAACTATCTGACTCCATGAGGAAAGGAAATATAAGAGTTATAGGAATTCCAGAAGGAGAGGAGAGAGATGTAGGAACAGAGAAAATATTCATGGATATAATTGAAGAGAACTTCCCAAATGAGAAGAAGGAGCTGAAAATTGATATACAAGAAGCAAGAAGAACACCAAACTTCCACGACGAAAGGAAAAACACAGCAAGACACATAATAGTAAAGCTCCCAAGAATCCAGGACAAGGAAAAAATAATGAAGCTGACAAGAGGAAGAAAACAGATAACATTCAAAGGAAAACCAATCAGGCTGACATCAGACTTCTCTGAAGAAACACTACGGGCAAGGAGAGAGTGGAGGACATAGTCAACAGACTCCAAGAAAACAGATGCCAACCAAGAATACTCTATCCCGCAAAGCTCTCTTTCCTCCATGAAGAAAGAATATGGACCTTCCCAGACAAAGAGAAACTCCGGAATTTCATTGCGACTAAACCCCCACTCCAAAAAATACTACAAGGAATCCTAAAGCCAGAACCTCAGAGGGACGAATAACAACGAAAGAAGACCAAAAAAAAAAAAAAGTTATTAAAAGAATAAATAAATAAAATCAAAGGAAAGACAAACATAATGGCAAATACAGATGCTAACATATCAATATTAACTCTAAATGTAAATGGACTAAACTCTTCAATAAAAACACACAGAGTTGCAGCCTGGATTAAGAAACAAAACCCAACCTTTTGCTGTCTCCAGGAAACACATTTAGCTACAAAAGAAAAATAGGCTCAAAGTCAAAGGATGGAAAACAATCCTACAAGCAAATGGGCCAAAAAAGAAAGCAGGAACAGCTATACTTATATCAGATAAAACAGACTTCAAACTCAAAAAAAATAAAAGAGACCCCAATGGTCACTACATTATGATTAAGGGACAATACTTCAAGAAGAAATAACACTCATTAACATATACTCACCAAACGAAAGAGCACCAAAATATATCAGACAACTGTTGTCCTCTCTGAAAACAGACATCAGAGAAAACACATATGTAGTGGGAGACTTCAACACCACTATCAACAATGGATAGATCAACAAGACAAAAATAAGTAAAGAAACTAAAGCTCTAAATAAGGACCTAGAGCATTTGGCTTAACAGACATCTATAGAACACTAAACCCAAAAAAAACGGAGTACACATTTTTCTCAAGCGCACACGGATCATTCTCCAGGATCGATCACATACTGGGGCACAAGACAAACATCAACAGATACACCAAGATTGAAATCATACCAACCATCTTTTCTGACCACGAAGGCATCAACTAGAAAATAAATCATAAAAAGAAGGCAAGGAACTATCCTACCTCATGGAGATTAAAAGCCACACTACTGGAAGACCACTGGACTAACGAGGAGATCAAAGAAGAAATTAAAAAATTCCTTGAATTGAATGACAAGGAGGACACCAATATCCTAAAATGTATGGGATGCAGCAAAAGCAGTAATAAGAGGAAAATATATAGCAATAGAAGCTCACATCAAAAAACAAGAAAGAACTCAAAGAAACAACCTAATCTCGAAGCTCAAAGATCTAGAAAAAGAACAACAAAAAAACCCAGAACCAGTAGAAGAAAAGAAATAATAAAAACCAAAGCAGAAATAAATGAAATTGAAACTAAAAAAACAATCCAAAAGATCAATGAAACCAGAGCTGGTTCTTTGAAAAAATAAATAAAATAGACAAACCCCTAGCCAGGCTCACAAAGGAAAAAAGGGAGAAAGCACAAATACACAGAATCATAAATGAAGAGGAGAAATCACAACGGACACAGCAGAAATCAAAAGAATAATCAGTAACTACTATGAACAGTTATATGGAAACAAGTTCAACAATCTAGAGGAGATGGACCAATTCCTACAACTCTACAATCACCCAAAGCTAGATAAAGAAGAAATAGAACACCTAAACAGACCAATTACAAGCAGCGAAATTGAAATGGTAATTAAAAAACCTCCCCAAAAAACAAAAGCCCAGGACCTGATGGATTTACAAATGAATTCTACCAAACATTCAGAGACGAATTAGTGCCTATCCTTCACAACTCTTCCAAAAAATTGAGAAGGAAGGGACAATACCAAACACGTTCTATGAAGCCAATATTACACTAATACCAAAACCGGAATAAGGACAACACAAAAAGGAAAACTATAGGCCAATCTCTCTAATGAACACTGATGCAAAATCCTCAATAAAATTTTAGCTATCAGAATCCAACAATGTATCCATAAGATAATTCACCACGACCAAGTTGGATTCATTCCAGGGGCACAAGGATGGTTTAACATCCGAAAATCAATCAACGTTATCCAACACATCAACAAAAAGAAATATAAAAACCATATGATAATATCAATAGATGCTGAGAAAGCTTTCGACAAAGTGCAACACCCATTCATGATAAAAGCCCTTGAAATTCTTGGGATACAAGGAACATACCTCAACATCATAAAGGCCATCTATGACAAGCCAACAGCCAGTATCATTCTCAATGGTGAAAAGCTGAAAGCAATTCCATTAAGATCTGGAACAAGACAAGGATGTCCACTCTCACCACTGCTTTTCAATATAATACTGGAAGTCCTAGCCAGAGCAATAAGACAAGAGAAAGACATCCAAGGAATCCAAATAGGAAAAGAAGAAAGTCAAACTATCACTATTTGCAGATGATATGATAATATACATAGAGAACCCAAAATCTCCACAGAAAAACTAATTCAACTCATCAATCAATTCAGTAAAGTGGCAGGATACAAAATCAACACGCAAAAGTCAGTAGCCTTCCTATACACAAACAATAAATCTGAAGAAGAAGAAATCAAAAAAACCACCCCTTTTATTATCGAAACAAAAAAAATCAAATATTTGGGAATAAATCTAACAAAAGAGGTAAAGGACCTATACAAAGAAAACTATAAAACACTGTTAAAAGAAATAGAAGAAGACACAAAGAAATGGAAAGACATCCCCTGCTCATGGATTGGAAGAATAAACATTATTAAAATGGCCATCCTACCAAAAGCAATATACAGATTCAATGCTATTCCAATCAAAATCTCAATGGCATTCTTCAAAGAAATAGAACAATTATTGATGAAATTCATATGGAATCACCAAAACCCCGAATAGCCAAAGCTCTACTGAAAAAAAAAGAAGGAAATGGAGGCATCACACTCCCAGACTTCAAACTATACTACAAAGCCATAATCATCAAAACTGCATGGTATTGGAACAAGAACAGACATACAGACCAATGGAATCGAATAGAAAATCCAGAAATAAACCCACAGATTTATGGTCAACTAATCTTTGACAAAGGAGCAAAGACTATGCATTGGAGCAAAGAAAGTTTGTTCAATAAATGGTGCTGGGAAAACTGGGTCGCTACATGCAAAAGAATGAAGCTTGACCACTACCTCACACCATACACAAAAATCAGCTCAAAATGGATTAAAGAACTAGACATAAGACCTGAAACCATAAAATACATAGAAGGAAATATAGGCGAAACACTACGGGATTTGCACATCAAAGACATCTTTACAGACACATCACCCAAAGCAGTGATAGTGAAGAGAAAGATAAACAGCTGGGACTACATCAAATTAAAGAGCTTCTGCACAGCAAAAGAGACAATAACAAAAACAAAGAGAAACCCCACCAACTGGGAGAACATTTTTGCACCCAACACTAATGATAAAGGACTGATCACAAAAATCTGCAAAGAGCTGATGAGACTCAGCAACAACAAAGAAAATAATCCAGTCAAAAAATGGGCAGAAGAGCTAAAAAGAAACTTCTCTGAAGAGGAAATGCAAATGGCCAACAGACATATGAAAAAATGTTCAACATCACTTGTCATCAGGAAATGCAAATCAAAACTACCATGAGATACCATCTCACACCAGTGAGAATGGCACATATTAAAAAAAACTAGCAACAACAAATGTTGGCGAGGATGTGGAGAAAAAGGAACTCTTGTGCACTGTTGGTGGGAGTGCAAACTGGTCCAACCACTATGGAGAGCTGTGTGGAGATTTCTGGACCTACTAAACATAGAGCTTCCATATGATCCAGCAATTCCACTCCTAGGTATTTACCCAAAGGACACAGAAACATCAATTCCAAAGAGCACCTGCACTCCTATGTTTATAGCAGCACTGTTACAATAGCTAAGCTTTGGAAACAACCCAAATGCCAAAAATAGATGACTGGATCAAGAAGATGTGGTACATATATACCATGGAATATTACTCAGCATTCAAAAAAGATAAACACATGCAATTTGCAGCAACATGGATGGCGCTGGAAGGGATCATGCTCAGCGAAATAAGCCAAAAAGAAAAAGAAAAATACCGGATGGTCTCACTCATAGCAGGAATCTAGAAAACTTAAATAAGGGACCAGGAAAATGAATATAAGAAAGTGAAAATCAAAATCAACAAAAAACTATGAACCAGAGACACTTTTTGGGGGTGGGGGCGGGAGGGAAGGATTGGGGTCAGAATGGGGCGTTTGCAATTGTATGGGGGAATATAAAAATAAAATTTAAAAAAAAATAAAATAAAAATAAATAAATACTGGTTGACTTCAAAAAAAAAAAAAATGGATTTCCTCATAATGACAGGAATAAGATAAAAGAAATGCATTTTTTTTTCTGTAGCTTTCAACCAGTATCAGATGAAACATGGATAATAAACAGAAGGAAACAAAATCATGACCTCTTGAAATTAATTCTGTTATCTCTTGAGAAAAATCCAGAAAACAACTATTATAATTAATATGTTTGGTAAACTGACTTTCACTTAGAAAAGTATTTGGTAAATTGACTTGTATACATATCATTAATAAAAGTGGATTTACTCACCAGGGTACAGAATTGTATCTTATTCTTCTTTACATCCTCTTTCCTGGAATAAAGTATCAAATAAATATTTGTTGGTAGAGAAGATGGACTCTAATATATCCTTACCAGCTATTAACAAATATCATATATAAACAAAATTTTATCACTAAAAGGTAGTTCATAAATTATGGAAGAGGTAATGGAATAAATATTTTACAGTACTCTAACTCTTCAATAATGAGAAGTTGGCTGCATTTTAAGGACTTTGATGTCATTTATTACTTCAGATTGCAAACTTCTGAAAGAAGTTAAATAGTATTTGTTATGTAGTTTGGATCTAGTGAGTTTAATGTCATGCAATAAATTTGTAGCACATGTGTCTGGTTTTGCTAATGATTTGGCAAAGTTCATGACTAATATATATTCAAAAGGATCGAGTTGAGGTGTTCAACAATACTCTAGTGAATATGAATTATAGAACAACTTCGGAATTATGAATTTATTTCCAGTGAATTTCCTACTGGGAAATGAACAGAATAGAACTTTATGGTTAAGAAAATAGAGAGGAGGTAGGAAACAATATGGTAGCTTTTATTAATTTATTCATTCTCTCACTCACTTACTCAGTAATACTTGATAATCCATTGTGTGCTTCAGAGTGAGCTAAACACTGAACACAAAACAATAAAACATGGCTTGTTTTCTCAAAATTTTCACTGTTTATGTGGGAGAGAAAGACATATCAAACAAAAATTACAATACCATGTGGTAAAGTAGTATAATAGGAACACAGAGAAAAATGAGCCAAACCACACTAGAGCTATGAGGACAGGATTGAAGAGCCTTAAATTGTGGATAGAATTTCTCTGGTGAAGAGAATAGAGATGATGAGAGGCTGAAGAAAGTATTGCAAAGCTCTGGGAACAATAGAGCAAATCCATAATGGAAAGAAACAGCTTGATGTATGAAAGGAAATTGGAAGCAGCTATTCAGTGACATTAGATCAGAGTCAGGAGCAAGAGAAGAAACAGACATTACAGTATCACATTAAGCAGGGACTCCTATGTTATCGAAAGAAATTGAGTTGTATTCTCCATGCAAGTGTTATGAGTGTGAGTTAATTGATCAGATTCACAGTTTCTAGACCTTATAGCAGCTGTGTGACAGATTGATCTGAAGGAACAGGACAAGAAGTATAGAGAAGAGTCAAATACTTTTGCAGTAGTCCAAGTGTATTAACTAACTCAAGGCTTAATAGTAAGGATGCAGTATAACAAGTAAATATAAGAAATATTTGGTGAAAAAGAAATCAAAATGGATTCTTAACTTCTGTGTTATATAAATTTAGGTGCCATTGATATTTTTGGACCAAGCTCAATGGAGTTGTTCTTAGGAGTTATTAGCATAGCTATAATACTTGAAACCCGTGGGATTGAAAGTGATTTTCTAGGAAAGAACAGAGTGAGAATATATGATAATTAAACAACAAACCATGAAGAATCACATAGGGAAATCCAGTAAAGAAAGAACTAAGGGATACAAAGAAAACCAGAATTTGTGTCACAGTAGCTAAAATCTGGAAGAATTTTAAGAAAACTTGACGTTCATGGGTGTCCAACTGAGATGGAGGACAGAGTAGTCTTATTGGGCTTGACATTTGGGAAAAGTCTGGCTCTATGAAAACAGTGGTGTGGTGATGGTAGCATCAAGTTTGCAATAATAGAAAAATTAATGGTGGGTAAGATAATGGGGAAAACACCTTTGTGTTGTCTGGATGATTATTCCACAAAGTGGTTAAGTTCTCCTTGTCCCATTAATATTCGTCCTCAACTTTAGAGGCCTATGAACCTGAAGGGAGAAGCAGGCCAGATAAGCACTAGTTACAATTGAGCCCCTAGTTTCCTGGGAGACGAGAGGTGACAAGATAAAATGCAAGGAAACTAGGGAAGTATAATCAGATGGAGTTAAAGAATGAAGATGAAAGAAGGTGAACAGAAATCAGCTAACAGTATCAACCAATTTATTGGAAATTTGTGCTTTTTTTAAGATTCTTCCAAATGCAGTTAGGAATCCAGAAGGACTGAGAGATATTGAGCACCCTATGTTCCTCATAGTCAGGAAAAATTACATGAGTATAGAATTAAAAAACAACTTCAACCATGAATTTCTAGTGTCTACTTTAACTATACTTACTTAATGTTTGATATACATGCGATATAAGATTCTTTAAATAGAATAAATAGGCTGCATAACTAAAATTTTTGTAATGATATTGATATGTAATTCTGTTATTCCTAAGAGTTTTATAGAAGAGTAGTTATATGAGAGGAGAGCTAGGCAGGAAGAGAATAACCTTGAAGACAGTTACATGGGGTGATGCCACTGTTTGTGGCACTACAACTACCAAGAGTTTATGTTAATTCTTCTATATAAATGGTGCACATATTCTTTATGTAGTGATTCTCACTAATGAAGTACTGTATAGAATTTCTCTGATTCATTGATATGGATCAATCAAAATTTTTTTAGTATAAAAATATATATGAAGAACTCATACCTATGTATATTAAAGCCTGACATAATTTTATTTGTACCTAGTTCATTAAAAACTAGGTAAATTTTCATACAGTTTTGCTGTTGTTCATACACTCAGGAAGCTGTCTTTGTCATCTATTAAACTTTAGGAGATGCACAGCTACCAAGGCACAGCAATAGGAGGAAAATCTTATCTCTTCCTTGATTTTTAACTTAGTTGGGGCTACCTAAAAACTGTAAGAGAACAGTTGTTAAGTTAAACATAACAAATGAGGGAATTTTAGTGCAATGTGCATTTTGCTTGTGTATTCCATTGATGAATAAAGATTGATTAGAAAGCATTTGTTTGGATTAACCAAAGTTTTAAGTTATAGTGAATGTTTAGACATCTCTTTGAGTGATTAATACAGAGACATCAGGGAAATAGCTTGAACCAAGATGTGGAGATGGAAATAAACAAGCGATGTTTAGGTAGAGATAAGGAAATGATGAATCTTTCTTTTACAAGAAAGATTGAACTGACCACTGTATTTGTTCTTGGTTTTAGTTGTCAATTTTGTTCAGCTGCTCATCTTTTGGTAAAAAGAAAATTGAAACACTCTTGGGTCTAGGGTAAAGTTCCTTGAGATTTTATTAGGTTCCATCTAAGACTGTTACATGAGAAACAAGAAATGGAAACATTTTATTAGTAATTATCATCAAGCCTTTAGAGCAAATTAAGGTTTTAAACATAAAGTAATCATATCACAGAAGTCAAACTATAGCACGTTCAGTGATTTTTTTTAAGTGAACTTGAAAGAAAAGCTGTATGCTACTTCTTATAGTTGTTACTATTTAAAATTCAACTGAAAGATCATATTGTTTATTATTAAGTTTTATGAATTTCAATTTTGTAGAGAAATATCTTGTCAATATCAACTAGATTATCAAAATCTTTGTCAGAGAGATTGCCATATATTAATTCACATCTACTATTTATAGATCTTGAGTCTGTTTACAATTTAAAGAGTGAACACCAAATGCATGTTAATCTTTGACTTCAATTGTCAATGTACTTACAAACAACAAACATAAGCAGAGACCCTGAGAGTAAAAACACCGACAGTGAAATTTTGTACTTCAGTGAGAATGATGAGAAAATCTTTGTTCTCACAATAATTTGAAATTAATGTGGCTTGTTATCAAATGACATATGTCAAGTTTAATATTGCCTTTTCCTGGAAATTACAGAAAATCAAATTTGTGAAGGGCGGCTTAAGAAGGGAAATATACTGGTCTGCTGTACTTGTGAAATGAATATGCAGGGTGATGGAATGTTTTCCCCCCCATAACTGCAGGAAAATAGGATAGTCACCTGGTATCATTCTCTGCAGTACTTCTACTACTAGTCCATTTTTATCACTTTCCAAATGAATAACATAACTACAGTTCTCTGACAACTATCTATATCAAGATTCTTTTTGACAGTTTTCTGCATTAACTCACAATCATGAGTTATCCCTGCTTTTCCTCATTTTACTTCCAGGGAAGCTGATGATCTGAGATGTTAAATAATTTGTTGTAAATAGCATAGCAAATAGGAAGTTTGATCAGAATTTGAATCTTAGAAGCCTGACTCCAAAGGTGACATTCTGAACCACTAAGCCATTTCATATCTCCAGCATTCTGAGATATGGTAGAAATTATATCATCCCCTAGCTTGAGAAACCTCTTTTTCTTGTCTGATCATTTCAACTTATATTTCCATTCAATATCTTTGATAGCTAAATTCCACTTTACTCATTCAACTGAGTGTCATAGGAGGACCTTCAATGCATTGTCATTAAAAATCTATTATATGACAAGAACTATCCATGGCACTAAGGATACAGAGTAAGTCTCCTTGGCTATGCTTTGGTTATTGATTTGGCACTTAAAAATTAGTAAAGAACACTGACAAATCAGTAAGTATAATTCTGCTTTTCTTATCTCATTTTTCTGCTAAGTTTCTTCTCTGTTTCTCAACCTTTTGACAATATGTTTCTTCCTGTGAGTATTATAGATATGTTTGAATTAATAAATCAATATACAGAATAAAATATCCATTTTTTAAAAAATTTCAAATTCCTGCCTATTTAATAAGTTCTGTCTAATCCACAAATGATTGATTTTGTTTCTAGCACCATTTGATTCTTCATCTAACTTCACTTTGTATTTGTGTTTTGCAACACACAAAATGTTGTTTTCTCACATGGGCACACTGAATATATTTATTTTTTCTTCCAGAAATGTGTACCTAAAAGCACATAACCTAATCATCAAATATTGGATCAAAACAGTAGACTAATTGTCTTTGAATCAAGTGGGGTTTTTTGTTTGAACAAATTTTTTTGCATTATTTTTTATAATATTCTATGTGATTTAGAGGTATAGGGTCACACCTCTTTGGATTTATGTTACCATACTACATCCAACACCAAAGCACCCATATAACTCTACCCATTTTATCCCGCCTCCCCTGTCTCCCACCCCTCTAGCAGACTCAATTTT